AACAATGCTTTTTCACATATAATTTCAGTAGAACTTAAAGTTACTCACCTTAGTCATTCTTGTACTGCAATAGTAGTCCCATGAGGAGATGTTCTTCTCTCTGAATAAAAGCGGAACATCACTCCAAAACTTTGAAAAATGGTAGAGTTGATGATGAGGTCGAATGGAATAGCTGAGCGTTTCGTACAGTGTGGAAAGCACTTCGCTGAGGAACAAAAAGAACATGAGATATCGCAGAAAGTCTAAAAGAAAGTTTGACGTTGGTAAATCCTTTTTAAAAGTGAAGTGCCGCCTGGCCCAGTAACACTCAGAGACGTAGGGGCATTTTGATTGCGTTCTGGCCTATGCCATGACCTATGGGGTTAGCCAGTGTGCGTGTTTTTTCTCCCAATCAATTCTGGTACAATCACTCGACTCTAAAGGGAGGCGAGGACGAAAGCCTTTGTTAGCAATTGAGCCAATCCGGGATCCAATCTCTCGACCACGCATCTGGTAAACTGCGCTACGTAAACTCTATTATCCCCACCATCACATTTGAATGAAAACATTTGATCAGAATAATGCTCTACTGCCGCTCAGTGCAACACCCCCACAACACAAATGGACGCACACCCCCGACGGTGGTACTTTTTCCGCTTCATTAACGGAGTACAACTTAATATGAAGCGTTGCTACACGAATATATGGACAAATATGTGCAGCCGTATTTATCAAAGCGGTTGTTGGCACGATGCCAACGGGAAACTTCCGAAAATGTTCGTAAATGCCGTGCAGATCAGTTTTTTCGCAGGTTTTTGGCCGTTTAACTTCGATTTTCGTCATTTTCCACTATGCAGCACCCCCACTACTGTTTTCGAGGGAATAGCAAATCATCGCGCCTTTGCATTTAAGACAGTATGAAATTTGTGCCAATTTCGCACTTGAAGTTCTAATGAAGACGTGTTCAACCAGCACTCCCACCGTTGATCCGATGAAAGATTGAATTGAAAGACTCCGAAAAGGTCTAGTAATCGAACTGAAGCAAGCATTGCGTCTCTCTAGTAGACCTTTTGATTCTCCTCACCATATATGTTTCCTTTCGTTTTCGCAAATTCATCGATTTGTCAACCCAGTGACTTTGAATATTAACCTTTCACATGGTCTTTTGCAAAAAAAAACACCGGTTCCAGACATTGTTCTCTCTTCCACCAATTCAGGAATATATATCCACGGAAAACTGCTGACTTGACGTTTCGTTCCAAATGCCGCACGTTGCTGCCGCTTGCGGTGTTCTTTCTCAACTTTTGTTGCACACCGCGATTTGAGAAGTGGGAGCGGGTGCTGGCGAGCGGTGGCGAGGGATCACCCAGAGCGAGCATCTATCCATGAACAAAAACGAACTGTTCACTCACCGCCCCTATAGCTACAGTCGTCATCCTTGCACTTGATAGTCAATGTCAGTGCGGCTGCGTGCGGCGCGGTCGCCCGCACCCGTACTGCACCAATCGTTGAACCAGGAAGTGACATTACTGTATTATATCCTTCGTGTTACTCGTTTTCTATCACTTTTTGTCGCATACGCGTTTCAACGAAAAGGCTGAGAAGGCTTCAAACAGTGTGCACGCTCCTTCTCGCCGACACGCCCCTATCAAGTGCAAGGATGACGACTGTAGGTCCTTGCCATGTACGAGGTGAATGGTTCCGCAGCTGCAATAGCTTATCACTTTCTCTGTCAAAAGTGCGCGGAAAAGGGATTCGAAGGTAGTATGGAAACGACATCACAGTATCACTACCTTGCAGCTTCGTTCTTCTGCACTTTTGACCGGAGATAGTGGCACGCTACTGCAGCTGCGAAATCATGCACCTTGCACATGGAGAAGATTTTCCTAGGTAGAGAGAGAGCGACGTTAGTTTGTCTATTAAATATCGTATAATTTATCACCACTGCTCGCTTAGCCTTGAAATCGTCCAGACACAGTCATCGGTGCGGTCGAACGAGACGGACCTGCGCCAACCGGATTAATCTAACTGCCGAAGTTGCGGAAATAGTAGAATGGGTCTAGCTTCAACGGTCAAATCCGCAGAGGCGGTAATGGTGCGCAACGTTAAACTGCTTCACGCAAAAGCCTTTGAGTTCAGGTCATGAACTGGCAAAAATGCACTGGACGACAGTATGCATTCCGGGAGGAGGTCTATATAACTTTCGCTATAACATTAGCTCTCCAACCAGGACACTGGATAGGTTCACTACGAAAGTTCCGTCACCGGGCTGGTAGCTACCTGGCAGTAGATCTGATTGAAACGTGGTACTTCATCTCCCAGTGTGATGGTGCTGGATCTCGGTGTGTCGAGGGTCTCGTAGAGATGTAAGGTATTTGGTGCTATAGCCTTCAACTTCGCTTCCACATTTCAAAATTCGAAAAGGGCGATCACACCGAAATGATGTGCTGAGTAAAGTATCCACTGCTTTTGGTTCCACGAACGCTTCAAAGACTGTTGGCTAACCAAGCCAGACCTCTTCAAATTTCACTTGCATTCTGTTTAAATAATGCGCTGCTCATTTGCATGTACCTGCGACATCTAATATTTGGAACATCGTCCCCACTACGGCAAGGTACGACCATATCTTTAAGGTTTCGTATTCTTGGGGCACCCTGATATCAAAAAAGAATATCTAGACTACGTGGCGAACGTGGTTGATATGCCCTCTATTCGTAAGACCAAACGACTGGAACAGCATTCATTTGAAGTCATCTCTGCTGTAAGTTCGTCTAGCACTTACCCCTTGTGCGGCGAGACTGCTCACTTCATTTCTTTGCAGATTACTTCCAAGAACGACACAAAACGAGGGATGTGGTTGGTAGTGCTGCTGACTGCCGTCGAGCTCAGACAGGCACTCGAATTGCGCATAGACTGTCACCCTGAACCGAGGGCTAATATGCACAAATGCAGGGAGAGAGATTGTATCTGGGCACCGACGGAAGAGGTCCAGCATACTTCTTACTTTAGTTATGAAAGGACTAGTTACTTTGGAGATGTCCAGAGATTCAGAAAACGGTGCCTTGGTGTCGTATGAAAGAAGGAATCGGCTACTCGCATAAACAAACCGATGGATCCGTGAGTGCTCGAAGTTTTTGCCTTCTTTTAACCACATAGCTGAGCTGGAATATATCGGGAGGAGTTGGTAGGAATCCAGAAAAAATCATTGGCTGCACTGGAGAGAAATTCGCGAGAAGTGTCGTTATTAAAGCCATGCTAAGCACATTAAGAGCTGAAGTAATCATGGTAAACTTTGTCTACAAAGGCTTGTCTATGAGTGACATTTCTATGGTAGTCTTTATAAGGCAGAATCGGATGAATAATTCAGAGATTCAGATACGAATGGGGAAAAAGAAGAGATCTTTATTAGGTGGCGAGTGATAAATGGAAGCTCGTAAGCAAAAGCATTTGAGACACGAAGGTAGTTGCGGAGTATTCAGTGGTGATCAACAAAATTTATCATTAAACGAGAGCAAGTACAAAAAAGTCAAGGCAGACAGAATACAATTCACATTTATACAATCTGAAGAATGCCGACAAGGCCTAAGAAAAACTCCGGAAACCATCACAAGAGTGTTGAATCCATCATTTCAGCAGCGTATCGACGAGTCCTTGATCTTCAAAGGTTCGATCTCTATCATTTCGAGCGGCATCGTTGTATATCTCAGCTTGTTATCCAAATGATCCAATACAAGATTACAAATAACAAAATACAAATCCACTTAGTCTAGTTTACGCTCATCTCATAAGGCATGGCTTTACTTTACAATATATACAATAACAATCTGTCCAATTCAGCATGATCCTTCCAATTTGCAAAACTCGTTTAATTCACAAGGATGAGCGAACCTATGAAAATAACACAATCATCACCTTGGCAAAGCAGTAATACAGAAATTACGACTGAATACGACGACAACGCTTGAGTTGCACGAACAATAACGACTTTAAGCCAACGATTATGACAAAACTAATAGAAAAATCATAGTGTTCGCAAGGGAGAACAATTAGGATTGACTAAGCTTCTTGCAAAAGGGTTTCTGTTCGTGATTCCGTCGCAAATACTCACTAATGACGACACTCGGGCAATGAATAGTAGCCTAGAGATTTCATTATGATGTTGTTGTTGGGATGCCACGCACTTGGAATTGAACCTGTGCAACCCCTTTCTCTCTTGAAATGGGTGGAAAAACCCGTGAGAGCCTCGCTAAATCGTTGCTTCTCCGCCCCCACAGGAAGGATATGCTGATATAGGCGCCAATGGAATGAACACTGGGTCCTACACCAACGATACCAGTACATATGAACTAGTGGTTTTTGGTGCGCACTAAAATGGAAAACAGTCCACGGAAAAGAAGTTATTGTTGTGCTCTGCTCGAATTTTCAGGTATACTCCACTATGAAATCCTTCGAGCTAGCACCACTGCGAAGGCGGTGAACCGTTCTAGACCACCACACAAGATCGTTGATGCAGTCTCCTAGAAGAACCCAAAACGGCAAGATACAATGAAAAAGTACACATGCCCGTCTGGGATGCGTTAGCTCATATGCTTAGCTTACGGGACCTAGTTCCTTCCGATTTTAACTGCACCAAATCTCCTAAGCATGCCTACGAGTACTAACTCGACAAGGGTGACCATTTCGAAAGCAAGGTAATCATTTTCGTCGAATTTTGAGGGAATCGATTAAGCTAATTGCTTACGAAAAGGGCGAGGATCTTCCGTGGCAACTGTGAATATTCGACCAACTCTAGTCGTGTTTCTATATGGATGAAAATCGATGTCAAAACGTATCGTCTGTAACGGAATATTTCCTGCTCAGCCTAATCTTCTTCTTCTCCCTAGCGTCAATCCCGCGCCGTCGATTTGTCCGCTGTTCTTGTTAGACGTCGCCACTTGCTCCGATCTACTGCATCTTCTGCCGTGGCATTATTCTTGATGACGTCCTTCGACCTTTTCTTTGGGACTCCTCGTGGTCACTTGCCCTCCACCTCGAAGTCCATCGCTCTCCTTATTGGGCGGTCCACGGGCTTCCTCACGTGCTTATACCATCACATTCGTTGCTCTCGCGCCTTTTCCTGGATAGGAGAGGTCTGTGTGACTGCCCTAACTTCCTCGTTCCTGACTCTGTCCAGTCGTGTCCAGCCACAGGCCCATCTCAGCACCATCATTTCAGCTGAGTGAAGCTGCCTTTCATAGTCCTCGCACAATGGGCCAGCATCAATGGCGTAGAGCACTGCTTCACCGCCCGGCACACCTTGCCCTTGAGCGTTCTCGAGCACCGCCGGTCGCACAGGATGCCAGTGGACTCCATTTCATCCAGGCTGCGTTGATTCGGGCCTTCACCGCCTGGTCCACGCTGCCATCAGCTGCTAGGTCGCTCCCCAGGTACTGGAAGTCCTCGACCCTTTCGATGGCGGTCTACGATGGGTTCGGTACACTCTTCGGAGCTCAGGAACTTGGTCTTCTTCACGTTCAGCCGGAGTCCATTCTCAGCGAGCACATTCTGCCACCGCTGCATCCTCGTCCTGGAGTTCTTCCCTGCCATCCGCCATCAAAGTAACGTCGGTAGAGAATGGTTTTCTGTGGCCCCTCCATGAGCTCTTTGCCATGACATCAGAGTCAGGAGGAAGAGGAACGGGCTGAGGGCTGATCCTTGGTGTACCCCAACCGTGATGTTTACCTCCTTTGTCAAGCCGTGAGGGGTGCGTACAGCTGCTTTAGCCCCATCGTACATGTCCTTCACTATGGAGATGAGGTGTTCCGGAACGTTACGTTCTCTCAGCGCTCTCCAGAGTACAGGCCGAGGCAGGCGGTCGAATGCCTTCTCAAGGTCCAGGAAGGCCAGGTAGCAGGGTCACTGGTACCTCCCCATCACCTGTCTGGCGATGCAGATGGTATCAGTGGGTGACTTTTTGGGCAGAGGCCGAATTGCTCCCTGTGAGATAGGGACAGTTGCCTTAGCCTTGTATTGAGCCGCTCGTACAGCTTCATGTTATGAGGAGGCAACTTGATGCCGCGGCAGCTGGGGCACTCCGTCGCGTCTTCTTTCTGTTTGAAGATTATGTTGCTCCTCCATGCATCAACATCTTGCTTTGGCCGTTACTTTTGTTCAGGAAGTGGGTGAGCCAACTTAGACTACACCCTCCAGAAGCCTCCCATGCCTCTATCAGTATTCCATTTGGATTCACTGCCTTCCTAAACCTCATCCTTCCTAGCTGTGAGCGGACTTCATCCTTTGTTCAAAGAGTGAAGGACCTGCCGTCGTTCCTGCTGTCGGCAGTTCCTAGCCGGGTAATTCCATGTTCAAGAGTCCCTCTCAGTAGTAGTCTCCCATCTCTTAGTGACTTCGGCTGTTTCCCTAAGAATGGCACCGTGCAGCTCTCCCGTCTTCACTACCTAG